TTATTGTATATTTGTTTACTGATTCCTGAATTTTTGTTTTGTTTTGATATGTCCAAGAAGGCTGGGCATGTGTGCTACTTTGGTCATTAATCTGGCTCCGTTGAAGCTCTCACCTCCTGTTTCCAGGTGGGCCGAGCAGCTACTAGGTGTGTAAGCCCAGGATTCTGTTCAGTGTTCTAGTAGGGCTACTGAGGATGTAGGTGACATTTTTGGTGAGGTGATGTAACTATCCTGATGCCCATCTGGCCATGAGTGCAGGGGGTGTTCTCCCTAGTCATTAGGTTGGGTGTTGTGTGTGTGCTCTGCTGCTTCCCAGATGGTCGGGGCGAAATTGCCTAGGTTGTCAGTCACCGAGTGTGCAGTGCAGAGACCCTCACTTACAGTCTTGGGTGGGCAGGGCTGCATGGGGGTGTTTGGAGCAGGCACAGGTCTTGGTTGCAGTGGGGGGGCGATGCAGGTGGCAAGGGAGGGGGCTGTTGGCTGCCCCCGGATGCCAGGATGGAGGGTGTGCCCGTGTCTGCTACAGTACATAGTGGAGGGCGGGTAGTGCAGGTGGTCCTTGGATTCCCAGTGCGGTTGGCTGGAGGGATTGAAGGGCGCCACTGGTTCTCAGGCCCCCATTATGGGTGGCTGGATGGAGTGGGTGATACCACTGGCCCTCAAGCCCCCTGTGTGGGTGGTTGAGGCCCCTTCTTGGGGGAGGTGGTGAATTCTACAGATCTGCAGCTCCTGCTTGGCTGCTGTGAGAGGGCTTCAATTGGGCACCCTGCCCATCTTGACCTAATAAGAACATGCTGTGCCAGCTCAGCCAGTAATGCACTGGCGCAAGTGATGGGAGGGGCTGAAGGTGCTGTAGGTATGTGGACCACCTGTGCCAGTGGCTGAGCGTAGGGGCGTGTGCTTCATACCAGTCAATAGCCACCAGCTTAAGGGGTGGGGCAGTGTCGAATGCCACAGATCAGCAGCTCCCACTTGACTGCTGCAGGTGAAAATGGGCTTCAGCTGAAACTCCACCTGCTTTTCCTAATAAGGACATGCTGTGCTGGGTCAGTCAACAAGGCACTGGTGTGGGTGATTGGCAGGGGTGAAGGGTGCTGCAAGTCCATGGAACCCCTGCAGCAGTGGCTGGGCTAAGGGGCAGGTGCCTCAGACTGGGCCGAGAGCTACAGGCTTATGGGACAGAGCAGTGTCAAATGTCACAGATCTGCAGCTCCCACTTGGCTGCTGTGGGTGAAAATGGGCTTCAGCTGAGAACTATGCCTGCCTTATGCCAGTGTGGACATGCTTTGGTGGCTCAATCAGCAAGACACTGGTGTGGGTGATCAGAAGGGGTGGAGGGCACTGCAAGCCTGTGGACCCCTTGTGCCAGTGGCTGGACAAAGGGGCAGGCATCTCAGACTGGGGCCTTGAGTTCCGGCTTAGGAGGCGTGGTGGTATTGAATGCCGCTAGTCTGATGTCAGAACAGGGAGAGGATGGATGAGGAGAAGGGCGTACTTGAACCAGGGTGGTGGCAGAAAGGATAGAGATACAAAAATAATAATAATAATCCACCCAAGCCCACTGCTGTTGAGTCAATTCTGACTCATAGTGACCCTATAGGACAGAGTAGAACTGCCCCATAGGGTTTCCAAGGAGCAGTCGATGGATTCGAACTGCTGACCTTTTGGTTAGCAGCTGTGCTCTTCACTTCTGTGCTACCAGGGTTCCATACGTATTACACATTGGTAAATATTATTCTTGTTAAGTGCCGTTGAGTCAATTTCGACTCATAGTGACCCTATGTGACAGAGTAGAACTGCCCCATAGAGTTTTCTAGGCTGTAATCTTTCTCCCATGGAGCCACCAGGCGGGTTTGAACTGCCAGCCTTTAGGTTAGCAGCCAAGTGCTTAACTTTTTCACCATCAGGACTCCTTAGGTAAATATTACACATAGATAAATTACATATATTATATAATTACGTTTATATTTACATAATTATATACAAAACCTCTCAAACAAAATAAACAGTGAAGATATGATCAGACCATGAAGTCCACACTTACGTATTGCATCATGAGTGGGTAGAAGAGCTCTAATTTAGGGTTTTATTTGCCATGGGACCCTGAGCTAGTCACTCCCCTCAATCCCCTGCAGGCTTTTTACCCTTACTCCTGGGTTGTGACCCCAGGTGCCAAGGATAGGCCCAAAGGCACTTTCTTAATGTTTACTGATTTCCATTAATATTGCCAAGGGATTATGGATGCATTAATCGAGTTCCCTAGAAGCAGATCCTGAGATGAAGATTCGCAAGCAACTGGTTCATTAAGTGTTTCAGGAAGAAATAGGTGAGGGAGATGGGAAGCAATGTAGGGAAGACGAAGAAGTCAAGCTGAGATTGCAGGCAAATTCCCATCCTCAGCTTGAATCTTGAGGGGTGCTCTGGAATGCCAATTACACCTCAGAGTTGTCCAGTTTGAGTCAGGGAAACTGCTTTTTCATACTTATGCACTAACCAGTTATTGGGGCCAAGGAAAATGCTCTGGAGAAAGTGGCAGATGCAAGCCCTTAGAACACCTCATAGGAACTCAGGGTGGGCACAGGACGACAGTGGGAAATGGGCAGAACTGCAATAACTGCCCTTACAATTACCACTTCCAAAGGAGGACTTGCAGTAACCTGTGCTATCTCAGGTCTGAGCCCATTTTATTTCCCCAACTTCTCAAAATCCAAATAAAGCCATATGTATAGGCTGAGAACATTCTGCAGAAACCAGCATCCCAGCTGCTGGCATTGGCTAGTGATGGGATTCAGCAAAATATCACAGAACAAGCTCCCCCGGTAGATTGTCCTCTCAGCAAGGATGCTTGTTACTGCTCGGTTTGAAAATTGTGCTAGAATCAAGGGACACAAATGTAATGAAGAGAAATGATCCCTGCCTGAGGGGAGCCCAAAGTAGTGGATAATCTTTCAAATGGAAAATCTTGCTTGATTTTTCACCAAATCATAAAGAATACCTCTTCCCAATTAAATGCGCTTCTCCCTTGAACTGTAGAAGATCAGCAACAATACTTGTCAAAACATCACACCATATTAGATTACAAGGAGATACCACCACATGAGGAATCAACAAGAAGAAAAATGAAACTACGAGAAAGTATAATACTAGTTCTAATACCTAGCATGTGTGGAAGACATATGGTCATCAAGTTTCAGAAAATCTAAGTTAATGGATTAATCCGTGGTCTCCAGGGAAAGGCAACAATATCTGCCACTGCCCAGGTATTGTCACAAAATCTAAGTGGTAATTTGATAGAAATTAAATATATGCTAGAGCCATTATTTTAAATTCATTATGTAATTGCAAGTAGTTTTAACTCACTTGATATGAGATGTTATTTCAAAGTAATGAAACTGATTATCAAATGTTCCTTGGGAAATCATATTAATATCATATCTAATACCTGGCCAGAACTGCAAGACTTGAGAAAGTCAAGCTACACAATAGCACTGCTTTCAAAGCCACTCACCCCATTAGTTTATAGAGAGTCACCACCTCTTCAAGAAATAAAGAGGATCAGTGGAGAGTGCTAACAACACACTAGGCACTGCCTCAAGCATTTTACATTAGCTCATTTAACCTTCATAACAGCTCTATCCTTGCAAGAGATCCCATTATTACCCCACTTTACACATAAGCAATCTAACACTTCCAGGGGTTAAGAACTTGCCTAAGATCACAGAATTATTAAGCAGCAGAACTGAACTCTGAGTCTCTCTGAGTGCAAAGGCCGTATTTTAAATACCACACTATGGTGGCAACTGTTCAAAACCAGGCAACACTGAAAATGAACCAAATGGTTCCTGGCATCTTTATGGTTTATCCATGTCACAGTAGAATCACACTTTTCAGCTTATTCAAATCCGAGGTTCTGTCTCTATAACTATGGTTTAGATTGAGATCATTTTTCTTCACTGCACACGTAACACTATTTTCTAAAATTAACAACCAACCCCACAAGCTAATAATGAAAAATTATATACGTGTGTGTGTGTGTGTGTGTGTATGTGTGTACACATATTACACATCAGGTTATTAGCCATCAGTCATCACTTTAGTTATGGAAAGAGGTTAATTATTTCAATCTTACCACTTAGTATTCTAGGCTACCTAGTGCCTCTTGATATTTTTACAATTTCTTGGAAATTTTCCTCATACATAATTAATTCATTTGATGATTTTCCCTTTAAAAATTATATTGTTTGCAATATCCACTGATTAAAAATTACTGATCATTGTGATTGACTACCAGATTGAAGTGCATCTTTAGAAATATACTTTGCCACATGTTATCATTAGCAAGAAAGGGACAGAGAAAAAGAGAATAAAAAACAATGGAAGGAAGCTTTGAAATGTACCTCTACTAAATTTTTTGGAAGTGTTTTTGTTGTTGGTTGTGTGTTAGTGTGTGTGTTTAAAATCATTTCAGATTCAAGAACTGTTCCTATAAATATTTCTTTATTGATGCAAGAATTAAAAAATGATTTAAGAATTGTGTATTATGATAGATAATGCACTCCAAATTTCAGCTCTCAAGAGACTACAAAATTCTTATTAGCATAGCTTGACATAGTAATGTATCAGAAGTCTTTCTAGCAATATTCCCTAGAAATTACCAAATTAAATAATTCAATCAAATGCTTCTGAAACATCTACTACCTACAAGACCTAACTGCATGTCAATTCTAAATAGCATCAGATTTAGAAATGAAAAGTGCCAATGACAAATGTGTGTTCCAGAAAAGAAATCCCAAAGGAATTTGAAGAAGTTGAGTACATAGAAAAGCATTTGCTGAATATACAAAAGAGGCATGAAGATAAAATAGAATTACATTTTAATTTTTAACAGATTAAAGAGGAAAATAAATATATATTTATTTAAAAGAGAAAGTCACCAAATGTCAAGGCCTAATTTTTTGTCCCAGAAATCTTAAAAATAACTTAAATAGTGTATTTCTTACTTGCTGTTGATGAGCACTTCAGACTGCCGATTATTCACTTGATTATCACTCTTGTGACGAAACTGAAAAATCAAAGTGTTTATGAGAAAATATTCAAATCAGTTTTTGTCAGCACAAATAGCAACACAGGAAGTACTTTGAGTTCATTCCTTTGGACAATATTGCCATCAGTCCAAGATGAGCATGGCTTATACTCACCTTGAACCCAGCTCCATGTGTTCTAAACCTGACCAAACCATTCTTGTTAAACCTCATTCTGAATGCCGCCAATGGAACAAGTCTAGCCACATTTCTTCCAATTCCCACACATTTTTAGTTGCTTCTAAGAAGGTAATATGCTTCTGGCTCTACCACATGGTTCCAGAGGGAACCATACATTAATTTTGATGTCTTCAACAAGGACGGGGACATCCATTTCTCTCACATATGTACTCAATATTTTATTGGAACATCATTCATTCTGCTTTACGGATTTCTTTGAAGTCAAGAAATTACTTGTAACAACATGTATTTTTATTCCCCATAAGTTCTAATTGTTAACAGTGATCTTATGAAATACTAAGCATTTAAAACAAAAAATCAAAATACAATGCTGAAGCACATTTGGTGTGGATTTGTATTTTTACACCTAATTGATCATATTGCTTATTGTATACTTCCAGTAATGTAAACATCTTATATTGCTTCGAAGAATCTAAATAGTATGAGCCCTCTACTAGACTCATAAATTAGCAGCCATTCAAATAAGATTTTGTACATGAGCTGTCAAAATCAGATAGTAATAGGTTAAAGTAGAAGTAAGGTGTTATTTCAGCTAGCTGATCTAAATACACAGATGAACGGGAGGTAGTATCAGGAGACCTGAAGCTTTGATTGCACAGGTTGTAATCATCAGGACAATGCCTTTTCCTTTTTTTTTAAATTTAGAATGTTGTCTCAATATCACATGCATAAAGTGCTTCAACCAGCTCTCCCCATTTTCTGCACCTTCTCAAACCCATTCCAATCTTTCTATTATCCTATGCCTGGTACAAAGCAGCCTTATCGATTGCTAATCGAAAGGTCAGCAGTTCAAACCCACTGGCTGCTCTGTGGGAGAAAGATCTGACGATCTGTTTCTTAAAGATTACAGCCTAGGAAACCCTGTGGGGGCAGTTCTACTCTGTCCTACAGGGTCGCTATGAGAGTCAGAATTGACTCAATAGCACACAACAACAGCAACTTGCCTGGTACATACAATCACACAGAATGCCAGGTCTGAATCAATGGATATGACCAGGAAAACAAAGATTTTTACCATTTGTTAACATCAAAATAGTTTATAATATCGGTTGAGGAGTAAATTAAATCGGCTGTCTCATTAACATGCAAACTTCTCCGCACCAAATAGAACAAGAGGAATGGAAACATTATTTTATCTGAGTGCGTGATTTGGTGGGGTTGCTAGATATTCTCTGTTCCTCCATATCTACACTCCATCCTTCTCCATTCGGTGCCCTGAGAAGGTGATCTGTGTGGTCTTTGTCCTCTGGCTTCTCGTTGGGCTTGGCCAATAAGTGGTATTGGCAAAAAATCAGAAGGCCAGAAGAGAGTGAAGTAGGGTGTTTATTACCTGGATTCCTTCAAGCTAGGTTAGCAGCAGCTGCTTCCTCTACAGAAAGCCCCAGTTGGTGTTGAACAGCCCTTGATTAGAGCTCCAGGTCTGGTAACTGTTTTCTCCCTTTCTCCTTCAGGCCCAGAAGCAGTAATGACACCCATATTTCTATCCCAGAAGCTTCACCATCCTTTCTTGCCCACACTTTTTGTAAATGGTCCCCTCACTATTAAACTCTCTACAGTTTTCCCCCATTTCTGAGTGACATGTTTCTTGCCAGTTCTCTGCCTGGTGAAGATGGCTGGTATATTGAATGGGCGCTTATCATGACAAAAATTAAAGCATACCCAAGCATTAACTTGGAGCAGCAGAGACAAAAGGAGGCTTATGCGTTTAGTCATAGCTGTACCTAACCGAAAAATAGTCCTTGAAATTGACCTGCAGGACATTACAGAAAAGGACCAACAAGCTCATCCCCTAAAAGCTGAGCAGCCCACTAACTGGGTCTCAAGGCGAGACCACTCATACTTTTGCACAGGCTTTGCCAAGAGGTCTTGGTATTGGAGCAGATAGAGTATGGAAGAGCTAGAAATGGTAGTCACAGATCCAGGCTGTCTCTCTTTGTCAATTCCTACTCTAGAAATAGATATGAGGTCTTAGAGGGGAACTGCTCCGGGGCAGGAAAGGAGCAGAGGACTAGCATTTATTGTACCCACTGTGAGCCAGGCTCTGTGCCAGGTGTTTTACACATCATCCTACATTTTCCTAATGATACTGCTGATATTATTGGACAAAGGAAGGTTCAGAGAAATTAAGTGGCTTGCCTCATGCTGCAGTGCTAGTATATAGTGGGATAAGGTGTCTTTCTCCAAATCCCATATTATCTCTACCATTTTATTCTTGTTGAAATATGACTATAATAAATAAGACCTTCAAAGCCAAAATGAAAGAACCAATGCATCTAAATGAGTACTGTCTTCTTGAAAGATCAGATGACATGGAGAAGCCACAGATTTACTCCAAATATGTCACCACTCAAATCGTTGAAATTTTCTCTCCTAGAATTACCTTTGAAGCCCATAGCCCATTTTTTGCAATATCTGTCATCCTTAGAGGATGGAACTCTTTATTCTTTGAAAGGGCATGAAGGGTATAGTATGTTTAGAAATATATAAAAGCTACTCTTAGAAACCAGTTTTCTGGTTTAGAGTAAGGTTTGTGATTGAGCTGAGAAATAGCTTTTGTTTCAAAAAGTGGGTGAACACGAAGTTGTGAGAATTGGCTTTCTTCTGTATCTTGTAAACTGACCATAAAGGCAATTCTATAAAAGGAGCTCCCAAAGTACCTCGAATAATGGCAACCTCACAGAGATGGGTAGATTCCAGGAACATCCAACTTTAAAGCAGCATTATACATCAGTGTGGATAAGATCTGGTGTTTGTTAAAAATCCAGCCTCATGATGCAACTATATACTGTCTACAAGAAGCCTACTTTAAACAAAAGATGCAGATAAGTTAAAAATAGACAACAGGAAATATGAGTATGAAGCTCAGAGAAGACACCTGGCCTGGGAATATAGACCTGCAAGTCATTGTCATATAGATAGTTATTGAGGCTAGGGCCCATACGATCACAGAGGGTGAGAATATAACTAGTCTGGATTCTGAATGTTTGGTTTTCCCAAGACTGTGTTTTAAATCTGAATGCCCTCTTTTGGGGTATACAGGCTTCAGAACTCCCTATTCTCTTATATTTCATTTATTTATATTAGTGCCTGAGATTTAAAGGCATTCAATTTTGTTACACCTGGTATAATGAGCAGAGTATATGAGAGTGCCTAATAGCTATCAGGAGCCCTGGTGGCACAGTGGTTAAGCGTTGAGGCTGCTAACCAAAAGGTTGGAAGTTGGAATCCATCAGCTGCTCCTGGGAAACCCTGTGGGGCAGTTCTACTCTGTCCTATAGGGTTGCTATGAGTCAGAATGGACTCAAAGGCAATGGGTTTGGTTTAATAGCTACCAACTCCCAAACTTTAGACAAAGACTTATATAGGATAAACAATAATTCACTGGGTATCTTAGTTATCTAGTGCTGCCATGACAGAAATATGACAAGTGGAGGCTTCAACAAACAGAAGTTTATTCTCTCACAGTCTAGGAGGCTAGAAGTCTGAATTCAGGGTGCCAGCTCCAGGGGAAGCCTTTCTGTCTCTGATGGCTCTCAAGGAAGGTCCTTGTAATCAATCTTTCCTTGGACAAGGAGCTTCTTAGCACAGGGACCCTGGGTCCAAAAAACACTGTGATGGTTAAGATTGTATGTCAACTTGGCTGGGCCATGATTCTCAGTGTTTATATGTGATCACTCCCATGACTGAATCTGCTTTGAATAGCCAATCAGCTGAAAGGCAGTTTCCTTGGGGGTGTGGCCTGCATCTGAATATAAGCAGACATTCTGGCTTTTTGCTTGCTCTGGATCCTGTGGCTGCCTCCTGTTCATCTGACCTCTGGTTCTTGGGACTTGAGCTATCAGCTTATCTGCTGATCTTTGGATTCGTTGATCTTCACAGCCTCTGAGCAGAGCCCTGCTCTCCAACCTACTAATCTTGGGTTCACCAGCCCCTGCAGCTATGTGAATCAGGAGAAACCTTGTGGTCTTGCCTGCCAGTCTTGGGATTTGTTGATATTCACAGCCTGCGAGCAAGAGCCCTGCTTTCCAACCTGCAGATCTTGGGTTTGTCAGCCCCTAAGGCTACATAAATAGGGAGAAGCCTCTATCCTAATCCACAGACTTGGGACTTTCCAACCTTTACAATCACATGAGCTGTTTCTTTGATATAAATCTCTCTATATACATATTTATACACATTACTGGCGTTGCTTCTCTAGAGAACCCAGCCTAAAAGAGATCATAAGCAAATCATTAGCTCTTTATGGGCTTTAATTTCCTTATCTGTAAAATGAAGGAGTGAGACTAGTTATTAAAGACCTCTTGCTTTTAGCTTAAACATACCTGGATTAATCATCAAACAAATAGTAAAAGAGTTTTATGGTATTGACCAAAAGAGCTTCCTTCAAAAACTGCTAGTAAATCTCCATTTTCTATTACTAAGAAGCCACAATTTAAATTGAGACCTCAACAACGCTCAAGAGCAAATACTCACATAGTCATCTGTGGCATCTTTGACAGCTGTCATGGTTATTACCAGGACCAAAGGGACAATGGTGGTAAACCACGTCAAGGAAGAGATTTCTGGAATCAGCTGAAATAAACATTTTAAATAGTTTAGGGCTTTTAAAGTTATGATATATCTTCCATGTTCTGTCATTTAATTTTATAAGACTTGGCAGAAATTAATGGGGCTATATTTAGTCACTTGTTCAAATGTAGAATGACTTTCAATAACGCAAGTGTTTGCATTCACCTAAAAGACATGCAGAATAGAAACGTGATTGAACCAGTTTTCAGACCACTAACAAAAAATGAAATTTTTATAGCAAATTGAGAAACAAGCTTCTTACACTCTTTCACAGATGATGATGTTAAACATCCTTTGCCTCTCTCAGCATGTCATCTCAACTTCTAACAATTTTACCAACTCTTCTTACCAACTTCAAAAGACAGATTCTTTGAAAATCTAACTTATACCAAGCATGTGCTAGGTACTTTCCTTATATTATATAATTTGATCCTCAGAAATTCCTTGAGTGAGATTTTGTACCAGAATTGTTTTATACAAACCCACAGGGTTTTTATTCCATGTAAATAGCAGCCCCCGTGCACAACATAGAACACACTTTGAATGGTGCCTCGGAGTCAGGAATTATTTCAGGCCTGGGTATCATTTTCCCATTTTATAAATGAAATACATGAGAGGTTAAGCAACTTGGCCCAGAACATACACTGTTAAAATTTGAACACAGGTTTGTTTGACTTCTAAACCTATTCCCTTGCACCTGTACCTCCAAAGCCACCCATCCAAGAGAGACATAGTGACAGTTGACAAAACTCTCTTAAATAGGTGTTTTTCAAAGGGGGTTCAAGAATAAATTTGTGTGAGGTAGAGATGGTCAGTGTATGGAGATCAGGCCCTACCAAAACAGCTCTCATCTAAATCAATTTTATATAATAGCTTTCACATAAGATTAAAAAAAAAAAAAATCAACTCATAAGCCTCTGAGGTAGCAGCAAAAACATGGCTGGTTGGAAGAAGAGCCGAATTCTAGTCCTGGTTACATCATTAGCTTGTGATGAAAACTTCATGCATCACCTAATCTCTCTGAGTCTAATTTATTTATCATAAAGAAAGGAATTTGGATGAAAGCATCCCAAAGGTCCCTTCCTGACATAAACATCTATGAACAAGAGCCTTTGACCATAAATAAGAAATCCATTAGAGGGATGAACTCAAAATTCTGGAATGATGTGAAGGGCTACATTAGGAAACCAAAAGCAATTTCATGGGGGGAGAAGGGGAAGAAATTTTGGATTCTAGGAGTCTTTAATAATAGTGAGATGTGTATTCATTGTTTTTCTGTCTATTCAACATTCAGTTCTTATCAAATATACTCATATTTTCCTTAGAAAACCACCTCTCCTTTACTTTCTGTTCATGTAATTTTGGTGGTCTGATCCATCCCTGCTCCAGGTTTAAAAATGTGATCTAGGTCAAGCCAATCACTGCATTAATACACAATGATTAGTTCAGGGATTAGGGTGTGACTCAGCATTGTCTAATCAGAGCTAAACCCAGAACTACTGCTGGAGTGATATTTTCTATCTCTCTCTCTCCGTGTGTGTGTGTGTGTGTGTGTGTGTGTGTGTTTCTATCTCTCTTTCTCTCTTTCATGTTGGAGTTGGAGCTGGAAAGATAAAAGTCTGAAGCTGCCAAGGACCACCAGGAAGAAGGGGCCTTCCTGTAAGTGGAACCAATAGGAAGGAAAGCAGCAAAGAGCAGGCACATTCTGAAGACATAGTTTGCCCATGAATCCAGCCATATCTGAAACCAAATATGCCCCTAAATATATTCACTTTTTGCTTAATTTAGGCTTCTGGCATTTACAGTCAAAAGATTCTTAATTAATTACTCAGTTAAAGAAAAAATAGTACTCAAAGCTATTAATCTAGACTGCACATATCTAACCAATTTTCTCATCTCCTACAATTAATATAGAGCCCAGCACATTCTGAATTTACCAGTTTGGTTGAATTAAATTACTCTGTAAAATAGATACTAGGTAAATAACTGGTAACACAAAGTGTGTGTGTGCGTGCACGTGTGCTCGTGTGTGGGCTTTAATTTATATTTATGCCTTTTTCTTTCCCAAAATATCACTAAAAGCTAAAATTTCATTTAAGCCCAAATTTTAGTCACATGGGGTAAAAAAGAAAGATTATTAAACACAAATTAACCACTCAGAAAACTATAAAAATAATCACCCTACAGTGCGATAACATATAGCATACTTTATTTTGCATATACATAAAATGTGTCATTGTTCTTAGATGAAAATGAAGTTTGCCAAATTAAATTCCATAATCCTCTCAGCTGGACTCTGCCTCAATTCTGGCAACGTGCACTGTCTATGTAAGAGGAGACAAAGAAAGGGGGAGGCTATAAACCGTCATTATTGGGCTCTGGTTTGGTCCAAAAAAGGTGCAAGGCTGCATTTTAAAATGATCTCAGTGTTTAAAATGATGACTGCGTTAGCTTCTACCCATTCCTATCCCTCTCACATTTGTCAAGAGAAACAACAATAATAACCTTCAAAACCTGAAAAAGGATGGTTTACCCAATCATGAGCATTTAAGCTAAGTAAATTAACTTACTTTTTCAAATTATATGATACTTGTAGCAAACAGATGATGAAGAAATACCATGTAATTAAGAAATTACCTGTAAAATCAGAAGGAAAAGGAAATAGGCATTTGCCACTCTTTGGAACTGTTCAAATAAATTAATTGGCAAGAAGGTGAGAATGTTGTACTTGGATGTGTGGATGCGATTATCCTGAAAAAGAAAGAGCATCGTGTTAGTTTGGGGCAAGGCATTGCTCTTTATCAGAAATAGCCCTAAAACTTACAAGGCTGAATATGAGTTGTGCCAGAGCAAGAAAGTCAAGGCACTTATGGAGGAAATTTAAAATTCTGTGTAACACAACGCCCTTGTTTTCCCCAAGGTGGCATGCTCTTGTTACTAGCAGAAGTTACTGTTCAGTGCCACAAAATCACTCACGACCAAAAATATATCAGCTACAAAGGTCTGCCTCTGAGATAGTCAATGTCTGTGTTTCAAAGACTTATGCATTCACTGATTTGGCAGTTATTGCTTGAGCCCTCACTGTATGCAGGCACTGAGCTGTGTGCTGGGGCGGATGAGACTGGAAGGCATTTCAGGGATCATGTGGTCTATCTTCCTGAAGCATGACCCCTCTAGATGAGTGCAACAAGCAGCCCCCAGGCCTGTAACTGAAGGTGTCATGTGATGGGAAGCTGACTGCCTTGCAACACAGCCCACTCCTATTTCAAAATGGGCATTGCTAGAAAGGTCTTTATTACGAGAAATCCAAAAGTGCCTCCCTGTAACTTCCTCCCTTGTGCTGAATTCCATCCCTAGGGCCCCTGGGACCAAGTTTAAGTGCTTTCCATGTTGACACCCTTCAAATATTTGAAGACTACTTATAGGACTCCCCTAAATCTTCTCCCAAGTCCCTCAGCCATTCTACATGACTTATTTTATAGACGTTTCTTCCGGGTCATGTTCCATCTCAACTTCTATTCACCTCTCTTAAAACATGATGCCCAGAACAAAGCACAAATTGGAGATCTGGTTTGACAAGCCCAAGTACAATTGGAGTTTTGAAGTTCTGTGTTCTGGACTATTGTATAAATGTGTCCTAACTTTGGAGCCATGGTGGTACAGTGGTTGAGAGCTTGGCTGCTAATCAAAAGGTCAGCAGTTCAAATCCACCAGCCACTTCTTGGAAACACTATGGGGCAGTTCTACCCTGCCCTACAGGGTTGCTATGAGTCAGAATTGACTCAATGACGATGGCTTTTTTTTTTTTTTAACATTTCATTAGCTTTTTTGGCAACCATAACTCACTGTTTATTGATACAGAGTTTTGATCAAGTAAAATCCCTAGGTCATTTCTATATAAAACACTAATAAATCAGGTCTTCTTCTTCAGAAACCTTTACAGTTGATTTTTTAAAATATTAATGTAGAGTTTCTTTCATATATTCTTACTATACCAGTCTAAGGAAAACAATATTTTTTAATATTTTATGTACTCTCGAAAGTTTTTAATATTAACAAATTGGAAATGCATATCTTTTATATATTCTTCTGAAGCTGTAGAACAATGCATTAAAAAGGACAGAGATAAAGACAAAAAAAAAAAAGAATCTATGGCAAACTACTAGAGGTCTCTCTATGGATTAATGTTAACCCTTTTTCATATGCCTTATTAACTACTACCCAATCCACTTAATTGTACTTCCATGAGGCTTGTTCACAAGCATAGCATATGAGATTTGAGGTAACAGGTCATGCTAAAATTCAGAATTAACATGCCCAGAGCATTTCTCTCCACTAGTATTTTTTAAATTAGATTAGTTTTTTGTGGGTTGTTTTAAGTGAACCCACACTGGCTCCTAGTAATCACTGCTTCTTTTTTGAGGAAAATACCAGTTATCTGTTAAATAGGCATTTTTAACATTTATCAGGAATCAAAGTTCCCAGCTCTGTGTGGTGAGCTGCGGGAGAGTAAGAAAGGTGTCAAGAGAGGAGATGCCGGTTTAGCTGGTCTGGTGCCCAGTAATGTGCTGAGACTGTTCTGTAAACCGATGGTTAGTATTTTGCTGTGTGCTCCTACTCAAGGAAGGATCCCTGCCGGCACGGTAGTTAAAGTACTCAGCTGCAAACCGAAAGGTCAGCGGTTGGAACCTACCAGCTGCTCTGTGGGAGAAAGATGTGGCAGCCTGCTCCTGTAAAGATGATAGTCTTGGAAACCCAATGGGGCAGTTCTACTCGTCCTATAGTGTCGCTATCAGTTAGAATCGATGGCAATGGGTTTGGTTTTTTGGTTTTTTTTTTTTTTTTTCCTCTACTTAAGAGTTGGGCTGGGAAGGAAAGCTGTGGGAACTGCCAGCACAACATGTTTTTCTAAAGAAGCGGCTTGGGGAAGATAATACAGAAGAGAAAAGGAGAAAAAGCAATTAACTAAAAGGATAACATATTCTTTATTCTGTTTTATACTTTCCTTCCAAACTGAAATTAAAATAGTGATTAAGGTTGCAAAACAAACAGACACATCTTCTGGAACAGTCAAAACCATGGCAGGAATTATAAAGGAAACTCTCTTATAAAATTGAATTTTGTATAAGTAATGAGCCAATTTTGTGGGATAAAGTGATAATGTCAAGTGGCGACTATAATAATTTTCTCCCGTTTGCTTAACTTGACTTATAGCAAAGATTGTGTTTGTTCTACTGACTCTGTTGTGACTTATCTACAGATAATGCAAACCCTCACAGCTTTGACTAGAAACAAGGAACAAGGGCTTTCCCTTCTGGGGTTCTCTGGACCCATCTACTTTTCTTTGTTTTTCAATCAAAAGGAAAAAGCATTTCCATTTCCACTGTCCTATCCAAGCATGTGAGTATGGGTAAGCCCTTAAAGCAGGCACACTAATATTAGGCATTTAGTTGAGCAAGCCTATTGGCTTGCTGTGAAATTTTAGTACAATTCATTCTATAATGCAGCATAGAAGATCTTCACCACTGTCTCAGTCATCTAGTGCTGCTACAACAGAAATACCATAAGTGGATGGTTTTAATGAAGAGAAGTTCATTTCCTCACAGTCAAAGTAGGCTAAAAGTCCAAATTCAGGGCATCAGCTCCAGGGGAAGGCTTTTTCTCTCTGTCGGCCTTCTCTTCGGTGTTCCCCCAGACTAGGAGCTTCTCGGCGCAAGGACCCCAGTCCAAAGGATGCACTCTGCTCCCGGCACTGCTTTCTTGATGGTATGAGGTCCCCAACTCTCTGCTTGCTTCCCTTTCCTTT